GACCGAAGGAAACGTAATGAGATAAGTTTCCTGTTTCAGAACTTTCACAAACTTGTTGCGAAATGTATGCGTAACCGGTGGGATCAGCACTCGGCACGTCTGATATTGTACTTGGCTGGGAGTGACGGTCAGGATTATTTCGGAATGTGGACGCAGAAGGTGACTGCCAGCACGTGTCCCCGTCAACCGCGGACATGGTCAGGCAGTGCGCATCCGGACCATGATACTGCACTGGCGATACTGGACACTGACGATACTGGACACTGACGGCACTGGATATTGACGATACAGATACTAGGCAATGACGATACTGGACACTGACGATACTGGAAACGGACGGCACTGGACACTGACAGTAGTGGACACTGACGGTGCTACACACTGACGGTACTGGACACTGACAGTACTGGACTCTGACGATACTGGATACTGACGGTACCGCACACTGACGATACTGGACACTGACGGTATTGGAGGCAGACGATACTGGACACTGACGATGCAGATACTTGACACTAACGATACTGGACACGGACGATACAGATACTTGACACTGACGATGCTGGACACTGACGATGCTGGAAACGGACGGTGCTGGAGACTGGACACTGACGGTGCTACACACGGTACACAGTACTGGACACTGACGGTACTGGACACTGACGGTACTGGACACTGACAGTACTGAACACTGACGGTACTGGACACTGACGATACCGGACACTGATAATACATATACTGGACGCAGATGGCACCAATGCCGGACACTGGCGATGCAGATACCGGACGCTAACGATACAGATACCGGACGCTGACGATACAGATACTGGACAGGCACCGTGCCGCTGCATTGACGGCGCCGCCTCGCGCGTCAGTAAGCCAACACTGCCCCGTTTACCAGCCACGTCTCTGGAGGTGGCAGGGAGCGCCAGCACCGGCCTGGCCGCACCCTTGGGCCGCACGAGGAGGTCGTACATCACATCTAGCCGAGGCCGGCGGCCTCGTTAAGTGGGCACGCCGCAGACCGGAAGTGGTCCGGCCCGGCCGAGGCCGCGCGCCCAGGCACCGACAATAGGCCGTAGTCGCCCGCCTGGCTCGGCACAATGCGTGCCGAGATCGCCAGACAAAAATATTGGACTGTGCTGGGGTATTGAGAATATGGGCAGGGTCGACACAGAAAGTTGGAGAGTTTTTGCACAATGCAGCGGCGGTAAGAGCGTCCTGCGGTTCCAACTCGCAGCACCGCCACCGACGGGCCCCATCCAGCGTGAATGGCGACGCACGTCTCTCAACTCCAGGGCAGTCGCGAAGAGAAGGTTTGCAGGTTTGGAATGGTTTCAGGTGCGCTTTACTGGGTTGCGATGAGTGATTTCGTGATGACTTCATGACTTTTTGCAGGACATCGTCGTGAGGCCAAGCGCGTCCTGACTCTGTATGCTTAGGTCGGGCAGCCTGCTCGCTTAGGCCGGGCAGCTTAGCTGTATGCTTTTTCCAAACGCATTGCGCGTGCCACACTACCTTGCTCAACGCCTGTAACGGCGATTTGGCTCGATGGGCTAGGGAGTTCAAACGGTATTCGTGAGTGATGTTAGAACTAGTGCCAGCCTCCCTGCTGACGTTTGACGATATCCGGCTGATGCGCTGAGACGCAGTGCTCGAAGCAGTATCGCGCATGGCCCACGACCCATGACATCGCAGGAGCAAACGAGCAAGTACCTTGATAAAATGGTTGCGTAAATCTAAACATCACTCATCAAGGAGCGATCATCTGTCGAAGGCAATGCATTATTAAACCAAGCTCCATTTCCATATTCGGGGAGTCTTTGTTGCGTTTTGCTTTCAGCGTTCTTGCTTGCGCTTTCTTGGCCAAATGATGCAAAAAATGTAATATGCGAGCTGATCATCGACGATCAGATTCGGGCGTATTAGTCACCTGATGGTCAGCTGTCTGCCTTTGCAGAGGAAGAAGCAGAAGGTACAAACAAAGACAAGAGAACGCTTTTATTTTTTGTTATTCGCAGTATTCGATTAACGTCACAAAACAGGTCAGTTCCGTGCACCTTAAGGTCAACGTGGTAATGAAACGAAGACCATGTTATAAAGTACTGTGACGATTTCAGGATTTAATTTATTTGAACTACCAAAAACCTAAACAGTCGTCCGTGCACTACTATACAACGTACAGCTTTGCAACATAATACCTCATGCATTTTCTCTCCTCGATATCACAGTGATATTACTAAATGGAAAGCTAGAGAACAATTAGAAAGTTCTCCGCTGACGGCAGCTAACGCAACAGGATATCTTGGGCTTATTGGCCTTTTAACGCTACTCAGTCTGAGGGTGTTCAATTCAGCATAACAAACCGTGCCAGCAGAACCACAAAAGTTTCCAAGGTTCCGTCAAGAACTGACATCGCTAACTGATAAAATGATGCTGTGGTTAGCAGGCGTCAAGCTGTCCGCAGGCTGGGCTAGCTTCACACCAACCATGCAGCAATCGACCTAAGGGTGCCGACTCGGCCGGACCATGACAATCTTCTACAAGCTTGGACATATCTCGGTAAGCATTTGCACGTGACATGGCAATCTTTTACAAGCTTGGACATATCTCGGTAAGCGTTTACACGCGTCCAGTCCAGTTGGTAGCAGCGCATAGAAGCATCAGCATTTGTAAGGTAAACACAGACGAGCATCAAGCTGACTGGAACATCCTGAAGGGTATGGGCACCGGTGGGATCGGAGAAGGAACGACAATTCTCGCAGTTCGAAAACTGCGCAGGAGACTTGATTTCCGCCCGACTTTTTTCCATGCAGCACGACAAGGTTATTTTGTATTGCCCTAAACATGGATGCTGCGGTATTGTTTGCCCACATCTCCCGCGCTTCTATCCGCCTCCAACTGGAACAATGGGTGTGTGTCCTTAAGATCATTGTACTAGTATGATTGCCTCACCACATTTAACCAAGCCATCAGTTGTACCACAAAAGGCGAATCGTGGAGGAAACAATGAATTGCGGAAGTGCTCAAGATATAAAGTACAATGGCATGCAAAGCTAGAGACAGCAACAAAAAATCGTGGGCTTTTAGCAAGCACATCCGAAATTTCCAAAATATCTTTCACTACGCCTACTGAATCTGCTACCTGTGGTCTATGTCATCGTATATATTGTACAAAGGGCAGCTTGCTTCACGAATATTGGGTATATAATTATCGTAAGGAGGTCATCTTAATTCACGTTAATACTGCCATTCTTTACGCTGTATGCTTCTAAGAACGCGCTTCGTCGCATAGCGAGATATCTCTGTTCGCACATATCTTAAGTCTTTGCTTTTCGCAATATAGCCAACAGAGGCCGACTAACGCATTATAGTTTATGCGCTAAATCGATGCCAGCGACATGGCTGCGCCGCTGCAAAAAGGTACATCGGCATTGACGGCGGTCGTTTCAAAAAAATAAACAGGGGCACGTCCTCGCGTATCTGGCTATAGAACGACTGCAGATTGAGGATGAAGTGACTGCAGGCTGCAGGCAGAGCGACGATAAACGAGAGCGACCCCCGCGACTGCAAAGGCAATATTAGCGCTCAGGGGCCATGGCGCAACCGGGGTTCAAAGCCGAGCCCCTACATGGGAGCCGAAGGCATTAACCACTCGGCCATTCCCCCCCCCCCCTTGATGGCAGCCCAGTGACGTACCACCGCTTATTTGTTATTGACCACCGTGTCCAAACATGACAGAATTAATTCGAGGCATGTCCCGAAGTGTTTCGGGCAGAAGGCAGCACCAGCAAGTGTGTTCTTACGCTTGGTGAAGACAGATTTAAAGCCTTGCTCTACCTGCATTCATCTTATGTTCCCGTAGTGAGCTTAAGCATTTGCTATTTAATCCAGCATGCCTCATAGAAGGAAGGATGTGATAAATTTGATGACAACAGTGGAATAGCCCTGCCCCTCCCAATCTCCGTTATCGTATTGGACTACAGCATGCGTTATGCCATATCACGTGGCCGAGAGAATGTATGAACGACGCGGAAGGTTCGACCATACCAATGGGATGGCTCGATGTTTCCAAATAAGTCCATATAACCTTATTTACGAACGCCTTCTTCAAAGTCGTTCCACTATTTGCAGACCTGCCCACACGTACAGGAACACTGCTTTAGCTTTCAACGAATAGGATGTGAAACCTACTTTAATTTCCGCACAGTTAACAGAGGCCATAGCAGAAATGCAATTACCCGGAGGCGTCCAGCCCGTGCCTTTTCCTGGTATGGCAGAAGCCACCAACACAAATGTCGGACTGTATCGAGTTTAAAAATGACGACCAGTAATTCGACTTCGCTGCTAATTATGCGCTCTTATGCATTCACAGGAACACATATACTGCAAGGTACCCAGATAGGTGTTCAAGATATTCGGTGGTAGCGTGCCTCTTAAGTATTCAAGGAGCATTATGAATGACGTCACACGATGGCTAAATTCGTTCAGCCGCTTTAGTCGCTGCGCCATTCTGCTCGACGTGGGCTGATCACAACTTTGTTGACATCGTTTATCCCATGCCCTGCAGACACGAGACCATCAGGAGCAATTGCCACAACCGCTGTTGACTTCCCACCCGTAACCAAAAACACCCTTTGCCCCCATAGGAGCACCCATGGGTCATCAACACCAATGGATGACTGACTGCGTGCCACGCCAGTGAAGGAGACTCCAGATAGGTATTCCAAGACGAGAACGTAAGTTTTGCAGGCCGCATGAGACGTACTTTGTTTCGATGGATCATCCCTGGTCACCTCTGGTCGGCCGCGTTTCCGTAAGTTGGTGTATGGCAGACCTGAAGTCCTTTTACATATTGTGATGGGGAGCGCTTGCAGCAAAACGACGCGTATAACTTTGGTCATTGAAAGAAGTCGACGCCGACCAAACGCCTCACAAGCACATTCCCGCTCCACAAGGGCTCCTGCAGTTTGTCAGCATCCTTCAGAGTCGCCACTCACCGTTCAGGTCCCGATAACGCGTGCTGTCCGGCCGCCGGCCGCAGATTACCGTCGACGCTGCCGACGCTACGGCCGCCGACCGCGGAGCTGCCGTCGACGCTGCCGACGCTGCGGCCGCCGTCCGCAGACTACCGTCGGCGGCGACCGAAGTCCGTCGGTAGGCGGGCGGCCGGCGCGTCGAGTGGTCAGCGGGCCGCGTCGACTCCGACGCAGGCCGCGTCGGTGCCGATGCAGGCGGCGGCAGGCGGACTCGTGGGCCGCCAGTGTCGTAACCGTCGATGCCAGGCCGACTGTGGACGTGCGTCGCAGGCGGCGGCGTGGCGTCCGCACGGAAGCCTGAGACGGCGGTTTGTTACGGCGCTCGGTAGGCGCGCCGCGGGGAATAACGCGCTGCGGTGTGTAGCTGGTCTGCTATGCCGGTATGCGGGTCGACACCGGGCACCATGCATTGAAGCAAAATGTCTTCGACTCTGCGATTGATTGCAAGTGATTTAGAGTCACCTTTTCTTTGTTGTTGCATTCAAAAGCCCAAGCTGGCAAAGTAAAGTGAAGATCACACGCCTGTTCGAATAGATGTCGCACTTCTCTTGCTACAAGGAAAGTTGTCGTTGGCTTCATGAAAAGCCTAAGCAAATAAGGTGATGTGAAGATCGCACATCCGTCCTGGTAGATGCGCCATTTCTCCTGTTGCAGGCGGAGTTGTCTTTGCTGGCTTCATTAAAACTCCAAGCTAGCAAAGCGAAGTAGAGATCACATATCTCTAAGGGAGAAGATGCGCCACTTCTCGTGCAGCAGGCAGATTTGTTTTAGACGTGGGTGGGCTGGCCGTTCTCTGCCACGCGTCTAGCATACCTGCTAAGACAATGGGCTTTCTGTGTTCGTTTCTTGAGCTTATGACTGTGCAACAGCGCAACTATACAGGCAAGCAGAAATGCGACGATGAGCATGGTTTTGCTCTATGCCGCTTCCTGAAATACAGCACCGTAGCTCGCTGTCACTTTCAATTCTTATTGCATTTTCTGCAGCAACAACGATAAGCTAGTGCGCGCTGACGTATGATTTGAACAAATTATTTTATTTAGTGCAACACCAAAATGATTCAATGCAGCGACATAGGTAAGCTGAGTTACATAACTGGTACTGCAATCCCCCTCACACCATCTAAGCGCGTGACAGAAGCTTTCACCAACTGGAAATGAGGCCGTTGACGTCTAACTGAAATATGATTGAGCCGTTAACAGCTGGCATCGGATTTGAAACTTGTTTACAGCTGAGTCGGGTAACTTTAAGCCGCATGTTAATGTGAGATTGTACATATTGCACACTTCCATGCCGTAAAACCGAACAATGAAACTAAGCAATATGGTCATTCACGGTTGGAACACGGAGATAATCAAGGCAGCTCAGTGCTAGGTAACGCGCTCTGGGCTATTTCATACAGGGCAATGTGCACCAAATGCGGCAGGTGAATAAAATTATATATTTAGAACAGGAAATAATTTCCTTTAACATTGCACCCCATCTAAGACAGAAGCCAACATGTAATTTTTCAATAGTTATAAAATATGTATGCAATATCGGCCCCTTGAGATTCAAAAAGGTAGCGGCAGGAGTTACCTGTGGTGTTTTCGTCGAGTGGCGGAGACCTGGAGGCATTGATAAAGAAATGGGAGCTTATTGGCATGCAATCTGGCGTTTAACAGACAAAATATCAAATATTTGTTTCCATGGCAACGGTGTTCGGCGCCTTGTTGGAAACTTTGGTGATATGCACGATGCTTATGCTGTGCCTCTACTATTGACTATGAAGCACGGTTGCTCCAGCCGTATCACTCAATCTTAACCTCTTACCTCAATCTACACCAATTTGCCGATGGTGAGTTCGAAATGTTGACTGTCGATGTCACGTGTTCACTCATGCTAAAAACTTTCGAGCTTTAAATGCAACGTCAAACTTGGCAGGCGCACACATGTAAGCGCACAACACAATGTCATAGCGTTCCGAGACATTTTGACTAGAATGGCAGGCAGTTGGGCAGAGCATATGCCTTGGTAACCAAACAAAATTAAGAAAAGACATTCGCATGCGAGATGTTAAACAGTGTTCTACATTTGTATGCGGTTTTCAACTGAAACAGCCATCTTGAAGATCATTCGGTGCAGTTCACAGCCCTACCCATTTTAAAATACCAGTGTCGATTCACTCATTCCTGCCGTTCGTGAGCACAATTTTCGGACATTAGGACCGTCAATTGGCTTTAAATCAATATTTTGCAAGGCATAATGACATGATCCAACAATGACGCACAAAGGAGAATGTTAACTTAACAGAGAAGTTGTTGTCTAGAGCGTTTGTTCCGCCAAAATTACACTGATTGGTATAAGTGAGCGTATTTCATCACATTTCATGCTTGCTTCAATATTTTCAAATGTGGAACAATCTTTTCAAGATATGTGACATTCTTTCAAGCCCAGCGGGTGCAGCTCACGTTTAAAAAATCGCGTAGCACTTGAGGAAACAATATCTAGTTCAAGATCAACATAAAATTCTAGGAAAACTGGATGAGTAGCGTAAGGTCATGAACAACATAAGCAGTATATATAAGCTAGGTGTTGGCACCAGTGGTGCCACCTAGGTTAGCGTTGCAACGCGCGTGCAGAATGACTTTCAACATAAAGCTAAGGCAATGAATTCCGAAACCACGCCTGGCATGCGAGAGACCATATGTTTTGCCTATTACGGAAAGCGTCTCAGCCGTCTGTACCTTGTCAATCTTCTCAAAGGCCCCCTCTGAAAAACCTCTTCATACGGGCTTATAAAGCTGTGGTTCACTAAGCTGCCCCTCAGTGACGTCGCAACGGGGTGGCAGGTAAACTTCGGACGGCCCGGCTATACAGGTGCTTTGTGAGCTCTATGGTATTGCGTGGGGTTCGCAAACATGGGTCAGAGGCTGAAATATGTTCAGTGCGTTGCTTGCTGTCGCAAAAACATGAAAGCCGGTGATGCAGATATATTTCTTGCGGACTACCGTGGGATCCAGGTCGGTGAGTGCAAATCCGTGAGATGAAATAAATGTAAATGTTACAAGTGTTGGTGAGAGCTTTGTTTTACGCGTTAGATAGCCTTGGTTCTACGCATTCACAACAGTTATGTAACCATTTGTGCCAGTGTTTACACTTTACACAGTGTCTAGTGTAAAGTGTCTAGTCACACTAATGCAGCCAGTGCCTCACCTGGCGAATAGATGCACGTTATTCGTCTTTTAAAAGCAGCTTTGGTCGCGTCAGCGACGTGATTTTCTCTCCTTGAAGCATGCATAAAACATTGGCCATACAGTATGGCCGATGCCGTACATGATTACCAAATAAAGTATGGACAGAGTTTGTACCATGGATTAATTGATGTGTATTGGCAAATCACAATATGAAGCACAATATGGGCTGGGGTCTGCTAATCGTTGTCTATACTGAACAACGACACCATCCATGGCTGATTGTGTGATAGCTGTATAATGTGCGATAATTTGTGCACTGTTCATGACGCTGGCGGTTGATAGTAAAACAGCGCGAGCAGTGGTTGATAGTACAGTGTATTGCCAGGCATGATTCTACGAAAAATTATTTGCTTTTTATTAATGCGAATATTCAGTTGCAATGTGTTTTACCGACCGAGTGATTAGCTGGCAAGCTGTAGGCGCAAGGACTTATTAAATCAGTCAGAACTCAAAATAAAATCCTGGACACCGGTCCGGTGCAGTCCGGCCCACGGTTCTGCCACAACAGCCGGCAGAAACTTTGGTGATATATGTCCAGGAATTACAACAAATTATAAATTCGTTCAAGTTCCTTTTATGGACTGATGATGGTGATGGGTCATTACAGCGTGACGTGCACAGAACCTGGCCATTTCAGGAGTGAATTTGGCCGAATGATGGGGCATCTCCTGCCCGCATCTGAAATGCCACCAAGGCTATCGCATGGAATCGTATTGTTATTGTGGGGATAGATTCGGTACATTCACGCAACCTTTGGAGATGCACAACAGGCACCGTTTCTAGACTCAAACCGCTGATAATTTTCGTGACAGCTGATAAGCTGTCTTGATAAGCTAAGTTTATTGAACGCCATATCAATTAACATACAGATGTAAGTAAAAAATATTAATCCAACTCGGCGTGTCAGGTAATTGTAGTAATAACAGTCCATCTTAAACTACACTAACATAACACACAAATCGCAAAATTAACAGCATTGTTTTTTGTCATACGAGCAGTCAGAGAGTCGGTTTGTCAGCATTCCCTTGCATAGAAATGTAAAACAAAATTATTCCTCTGCCATGCAACAGTTTTTAATTAAGTACCTTTGATTTCATCTTCGGCTATTTTTTTCAGATCGTAAACCAATCATCAGCTGACGCGGAATTGCTTTCAGTAAACCGGAGCGAATCCTTCTGGGCGAAACAGTACACAAACCTTGAAAAGCATGGATATATTCAACACAACAAGCTTCACCAGCCAGGAAATTCAGGTATGAGAAAATGTAAGCTCAATTGAGCAGGCAAAATCCTTTTACATGTCTTATCTGTGAACGTGTTATCTAAGCAGCCAAATACTCAGGATGCGTGAACATTTCTAATCGACCTGAAATATTCGAGCATATTTAAAAGGGGCATGTCTGAGGGAATAGGAGACGACTTTAGGTGAACTACATAGGTATGATGAGATCGTAGCCGACTTTGCCAGATTTCTACTGAATGGTTTAATCTGTGCGGCTTTTGAAGAAGTGTGCCTGAAAATTGAACAACGATAATATCGCTACCTTTGCCCTTTTAGCTTTGTACATACGTCATCAACTGACTCAAAATTTACTGCAAGCGTTAATTTTGCTGTACGACACGTAAGAACTCATTAGGTTTGATCAAAAGGCTCCAGGCCTTAAGCGATATTGATATGCACATCGCATAACATTTACAACAGGCTACAGCAAGCAGGCGACGTACTGAGCATATAAGTTACAAACAGGCAACGGAGACTAGGGTCAACTAACTTTCCTCCATTTGTTTGGATCGTACAAAGGAG